ATATGCAGTCTGAACTATTCGATCTCAGGAATCAGTTTCACCGGAGGCCCAGGGACCCCTTGGCAGCATGGTTCTTACCCCTTTGGGATTTAGCGGTGGATAGCATCATGTGCACTGATAATGAGATGAAAAAGTTAGCTTCCATCACGACTCACCCCTTTCTGTGCCAATGGCTGCAGAATAGCCTGAGGCTCAGAAGGGGGCAGGGATCGCATTCTCTGTTGGAGTGGGTCGTGGCTGTGATTCATACTGTCTGGGTGGATGCAGGAGACATACCAGACACTACGACAGAATGGCAGTCCTATACAGACTTCGTACAGACCCTGTGGGAGTTGGGCAAGCTCCAGGCCATGTTGAATCCCAATACTCAGCCCCTGATGATGAGTGCTTTAGGCAGGAATGAGGGATCTGGTGCAGCAGCAAGCTCCTTCTGCTTCCTTGGATCCCGCCTGGCTACCTTGGCCCTGTATGTCGGGCACCATATTAATGATGTTATCGCAATGGTGGTGAGACTAGGGGAGGCAGAGACTCACCGCAGCAGAAAGGAGTACAGCTGGTGTCCAGAACTTCCCTGTGTCTGAGTCAAACAGCGCCCTAGTGCGGGTGACCAGGACACAGGTGTGGTCGGACCTTTTAGAGACAGCAGTAGATGAACTAAGATTGATAGGAAGCCTAACACCTACTTATTGGAACTTCGGAAACAGTTGGGAGCTGACCATCATTTCCTGTGGCCCCAGAAGAAGAAGGTGGTGAGGAGGAAGCAGCCTAATGTCACACAGTATGCCATTGGCCAAATGAGTCAGGTAGAACAGGGACAAAACAGACCTAACAAGAAGTGGCCAAAACACAATGGCTTAAGTGAGTTCATTCCTTTCTGCCAGAGAGCTGAGAGGTGAGTGGTCAGGGGCTGCTGGAGCGGTGGTGCCATTCCCAATGCTCAGCTTCCACCTCTGGTCTCAGGCAGTTGTTCCACTTGTTCCCTTTTCTAATTGGAAAGAAGGGGGAAAGGAGGTCTGCAGGACAGGGAGGGAGCCCCCCTTTTCTTTTAAAGCACAAAGTGGAATTTGTGGCATCACTTCTGCTTATATGCCACTGGCTAGACTTTGTCACATGGCCATACTTGCTGCAAGGGAGACTGGGAAATGTAGTCTCTGGCTGGGGGCCATGCATACCAGTAAAGCCTGAGGCAGGGAGAGAAGAATGATCACTGAGGAGCAGTCTTTCTGCAAAGATAAGCTGAAAACCCAAGATTTTCCAGGACCACAGGTCTCTACCAAATCTGGGTTTTTATCAGTCAGTCAACAAACACCAGGGTGGCAGGCATAACAATAATTCAGCATGCAGAGGCTGAGATTCATCTTCTGCTCACTAGGTATCAGGCCCTGGTTACCCACTTTTCACTCGTTGGCTCCTCTAATCCTCACAAGAGCCTAAAGAGGGAGGTTTTACTGTCGATTCCATTCGACACGTGAGAAAACTGAGACTCTGAGAGGTGAAGTAGCTTGCTCAAGATTTCGGGGCTGGAAAGTGGCTGGGGTTGACTCGAGCCCAGATGTGCCCAACTTCTGACCTTGCCCTGTAGCCAGCAGCCCTGTGCAAACCCGAGCTGCTGTCCTCACAGGAGTGCTCCAGACGCCTTCAGGCCACCCCAAGGGCCCAAGGGCCCCCTGAAGTGACTTGACCTGAGAGTCAGCCTTCTCCGGAGGTCCCTGGGAGAACTGGCAGCTGGGTGCAGGTCTCTGCATGGCCTTGGCCTTTCTGGACCTGAGTGACCTGTGGGGACGAAAGCAGTCCCTCCTTCACAGAGTTGTGCAGTGTAACGAGATGGCCACTGGGCAAAGGGGGCAGAGATTCTTTGGGCCTCTTGGGGGGGTAGTCAGATGCCCTACTGGAAAAAATAGGCAGCTGGGATCTTCACATGGGGCTAATGCTGGCATGTGGCCCGAGTGGCATGTCCACACCAACGAACGTGACTGGGGAACGGGCAGCGTGAAACTGAGGGCCTGCATGTGGTGAAGGAAGAACAGCCTCAAGAAGACCTCCTCTGTCATGGGCAGAAAGAAGCAGGGCCTGCTGAGATCTGGTGAGAGGTGGCCAAAGCGCCAGAGAGCTTGGATGTCACCTCTCTGAACAAAGGCTCTCATAGTGTGGGTTCAAATTCTGGCCCTGCCACTTGCTCACTGGGTGGCCTTGGTAAATCACTTTGCCTCTATGAGTCTTGGTTCAAACAATGGTGTTTGATATAAGGATGTTGTGAAGAATTAATGAGCACACGTGTTCCAGCAAAGGCAGCCCTCCGTGATGGCGGTTGTCTTAGCACAAGCAGTGATAAAGTGTCTTGACCATGGCCTGGTGCAGCCTGGGGGAGAACTGAGTGCTGGGGTGCGGGTGGAGGGCCCTTGGGCAGAAAGGTGGTGTTCAACTGTCTCCATGGGACAGTTGAACACCATCGGGGCCCTTGGCCTCACCAAGCAGGTGGGGCTTTCTTGTGCGGCCCACCAGGTGGGTGCACAGGCTGTCAGGACTAGCAATGGAAGAGGTGGATGAGATCTGGGGACTGGAGACCATGGGTGTTCTCAGGTAGTGCTTGAAGAGATCTCAACTCCAGCAGAACTCTGGCCATTCAAAGGACATGGAAGGGCAGGCTGGGATGTGGCCCGGACCTCTGACCTTGTGTATCACTCTGCCCCGTACTCCTGCATCCAGCCAGATCAGGTACCCCTCGATCCTCCACGAGTCCTCTCAGAGTCCCTGGGGGGTACAGGAATCGAGGGAAACACCAGATGGGGTTGTCCCAAGAATGTGACTGTCCTGTTCCCACTTCCTGCCTGGACCAGGGTAGGTGCTCTCTATATACCCACTTAATGTGTGAGTAGATGAATCAAAGGTTCTACACTGCCACACACTGGCCCTCTGTGCCCAGCGTCCCTATTTGTAAAACAAGAAGGTGGGCTGGACAGTCACAGATGTCTCTTCCAGTTCTGGTCCAGGTCTCTGCTGCCCTAGCTGCACTTCCCTCGCCAAATCCCAGAGGGAAGGAGGGCAACGGGTCACACAGGAGGATGTTGTAGCTTTAATTGCTGAGGGTAGAGGGTGACAAGCATAGAGACTTCTGTGTCGACTGTGAAGCCGAGGAGTAGCCGAGAGGGGTCCTTCTCGCTGGACTCAGGCTTTCACTCCAGTCAGATGGTGGCGGCATCTTCCCAGAGGAAGATGCTGTGAGGAAACAAGGTCTAACCACAGGGAAGTAATCTGGAAGGAAACTGCAGGGAGTTAGGCCACTGACAGCAAAGGGGCCCTGTGTGCACCTGCTGTTCACCACACAGCTGCTGCCCAAGTTCTTTCCCATAATCCCCTGGGAGGTCTAAGGCCTTGTAGACGACACGACTGGTACCCATGGGTTGGGGTCTTTCTTTTGCACCTGACATTGAAACATCCTTAGTCCCTCACTCTCCCCTCTCCTCATCTTGGGAATAATGGCAAAAAGACTAATAAGAGCCCTGGTTGTGTAGCTCAGTTGGTTAGAGCATTGTCCCGTTATACGAAGGTTGCTGGTTCAATTCCCAGTCAGGGAACATAACAAGACACCATCAATGAATGTATAAGTAAGTGGAACAACAAATTAGTGATTCTCTCTCTCTTTAAAAACCAATCAAAAAATTTAAAAAACTGATCAAAACCCAGGACTGGAGTCTGGGTTCAGGGCTCTGTACATAATCAGGACCATGAACCAGTCTGAGGTCAGCAACAAGGTCCCATCTGTGACTAATATTAAGGCTTAACCAATAACTGGGGCCAAAGCTCAGTCTGTGGCCAGGATCCAGGCTCAGTATAGCTATGTGATTAAGGTTTGGGGTTTAGAGTGAGACCAGGATCAGGGATCAGCTTGGGACTAGGGTCAGGGTTCAGTCCAAGACCAAGATCAGCAAGATCAGAACTCAGTTTGCTGCAAGCAAAACAAGAGAACCCAAGCTTTGCTTTGGCTTCACCATATTCCCCTGAAGAGGAGGAGACATCCTTTCTTAGCATGTGGCACACGGCCTGGTGCCTCACCAGTGGGGGTCATGACAGCAGTCCTTCTTATGTGCCCTCTCTAGGCAGATTGTTTCAGCAGTGGGACTTCCTTCACAAGTGTATCTGGAAGAACAAAATCAATAGTGGGCCTCAGTCTCCACCAGCTGGAAACCAGACCCCAATGGCTACCACTCTCCAGTGGGTCAGCCTGACAGCCATAGACCTCAGGCATGTCTCTCCACCTCCCTGAGCCTCAGTTTGTTCATCTGTAAAATGGGCACAATGATGGTACCTATCCCACAGGGCTGTTGTGAGGATCCAATGAGATGGTGCATTCAGATCACAGAGTGATTGCCCAAGGAACTGGACCTGTGGCTATTTTTATAGAAGGGCCAGCTCCAGAGCCCTGACACATTCACTTAACCCATTTCCTTTGCTCCAGCATCCCCAGCAACCTGGCCTTGCCTGGAGACCTGAAGGCTAAAGGAAGCCTCCAATGGCTGGGGAAGCCCCAGTACCTCATAAGAAGGCAGAGAGGAAGGAAGGTGTTTATTAGCAATGCTCAACGGATATCAGGCTCTTTAAGCTTTTTCCTTTAATCCACTCACCAACTCCACAATTTTTATAATCTTGTTTTACTCGGGAGCAACTGAGGCTCAAAGAGGCAGAACCAACTGCATCAAGGTCCTACGGTTGCTAAGTAGCAGAGCCAGGGTTTGAATGCAGATCTGGCTCATTTTCTTTCTCACGTCATTCTGTCAGGCAGCTTCTGTGGGTTAACTGACGGATGACAGTAGGAAGCTCTCAGAAGCCCATGGAACCCCTTTCACTCTGCAAGGACCCTTCCAGCTACGCTCTCCCAATTTGCTCAGGATGTTAGGTTCTTCTTCTCTAGGACCCCCTGCCCAGACCAGCCTGTGGGGTGGTCACAGACCTGCATGCCCACCCTGGGAAGGCTGCATAGGGAATGCCTTCACTTTCCCAGACTATGACTTACCGATGGTATTCTGTATATAATCCACACCCAGTGAGCTGACAAAGAGTCTGACCAATGGGCATACCTGAGGGAGGAGAGAGAGGGAGAGGAGAGGGAGGAGGAGGAAAAGGGACAGATCCATTATCAGTCGGCAGCAAACTGGCAGCCACCCACGAAGATACTTTGCACATGGGATCTTAGGACCTTTGACCCTTAGGATTCTGGAACACTAGAAAGTTAGAAGTCCAAAACCTGAGAACCTTAGAGTGCTAGGATTCTAAAACCTACAACCTTAAGCCCTAGAACCTTAAGAATCTAGAGCAGTGACGTCGCAGGCTCCTGCACTCTCGGGGACCTGGAGTTTTAGAGTCAACTAGGACCTGGGAACTATAGAGCAGTGTTTTTCATGATTTTCTCACAGATCCCTGGGGATCTGGTTGAAATACAAATTTCATTTCCATAGGCCTGGGGTGGGGCCTGAGAATCTGCATTTCTAACAAGCTACCAGGTGAGGCCTGTGCTGCTGGCCTGAGGGCCACACACTGAGTAGTGAGACTCTAGTTCTCTGAATCACAAAGACACCAGGAGGAGTGTCCTTTCCTACACCCAGGTTCCTGGCCCCCTCCCGGAGTCTTTGGAACTGTGGGCACACAGCGCCCTTGGTTTTGTAGGGTGCACAGGAGTCCTGCACGAGGCACGTAAGATTTGGGATGATGTGCAAATGAAAAACCTATTCTATAGGTCTGTGTTTATTTTTAAAATTAATTTTGTTATAGGTGATATTAATTTCTATTTATACCAAGGATATGAAGTTTCCTTTTAAAAATAAGTGTGTTTAAATACATTTAAGTAAGTAAAATTGTGTTGACTAAAGGGAAACATTAGCTAAAAACACATGGATAGTATATAACCATGATAGATAGTTCAAGTTTGGGACTCAGTGATTTCAGCTAATGCCAGGCCTCTGCTCCCCTTCCCTCATCCCTCCAGGCTGAACCAACCAGGGCAGGTTCCAGCTGATGTCCCGTGAGAAGTTTGCACCTCAAAAGGAAAGGGGCGTGGAGAGTACAGCTAGGCCTGTAAAGGCTGCATTGCCCACACCAGGCCTAGCTCTGAAGTGGAGCCTCACATCCTCCACCCAGGAGTGGAGGACTCACCTGCTTCTCCACCAGGGTGGACAACGTCTCACTCAGGAAGCTGGACACAGCATCTGTGAGACTCTGTCTGGAAAAGAGAGGAAACTAATGAAGCCTGGGCAAATGGGCAGAGCTGCCAAGCAGCGGGGGCTGGAGAGATGGTGGGGGATGGCAGAGCACCTTGAAGGCCTGTAAACAAATCCAGGGCCACTGAGACGCCTTAAAAAAGAAAGATTGTATATACTTACTTTTAGAGAGAAGGGAGGGAAAGAGAGGGAGAGGAACATCAGTGTGTGAGACATACATCATTTGGTGGCCTCTCACATGCCAGAGACCCAGGCATGAGCCCTGGCTGGGAATCCAACCAGCGATCTCTCTCAATTCACATGCAGGAGCTCAATCCACCGAGCCACACCAGCCTGAGCCAAGGTGTCTTTCTAAGCACAGACAGAGTCTCCCTCTATCCAGAAGAATCATCACTTACAACCCCCTGTCTGGAGTAAGCAGCTCATCGCAATACCTCGAGAGTCTCATCACAACCCAGTTCATTCAGCAAATGTTACAGAGCTGGGACTACATGCCAGGGGCCAAGCTAGGCTGGAGACATGAGGATGAGCAAAGTACAAACAGCTCCTAACCTGGTACCTAAACTTTAAACAAGTCTTGCTAAGGCTGGTTCCTTCCCACCTTCAGCTCCAAACGCAACTGTCACCTCCTCAGGACAGCCCTCTCTTACTGCTCCCCAAAGGGAGAGCTTTGCATCACAGTTCCCTGATAAGTGTGCTGCTCTGCCCAGGGCTTCTGCCATCTGATACATTGCTTGAGAGCTCTTTTTAAAAAAATATATATATTTTATTGCTGAAGTAGAGAACAAGGGGACAGTGACCAGAGGGGAGAGGGAAAAGAATTTAAGGGGGAAAAGGGGGAGGGATTTGGAGGAACAAATAGGAAGGACACAGGGACAAGAACTAAGGGGGGTGGAAATGGGAGGGAGGTGGGGAGCATGGGGCGGGGGAGGCTGGGATGGGAGAAATAGACAAAAAATGTACTTGAAAAATAACTAAATAAAATTTTAAAAAATAAAAAAAAAATATTTTTTATTGATTATGCCATTACAGTTGCTCTATTCCCCCCTTCATTCCCCTCCACCCTGCACACCCCTCCCCCAACATTCCCCCCTTTAGTTTATAACCACGTGTCTCAAGTTCTTTAGATTCTATATTTCCCATACTATTCTTGCCTTCCCCCTTATCTATTTTCTACCTACCGTCTATGCTACTTATTTTCTGTACTTTCTCCCCCCTTCTCCTCCGCCCATTCCCCTGTTGTTAACCCTCTATGTGCTCTCCATTTCTATGGTTCTGCTCCTGATCTAGCTGTCCTCTTAGTTTGCTTTTGTTTTAGGTATGGTTGTTAATAACTGTGAATTTGCTGTCCTTTCACTGTTCATATTTTTTATCTTCTTTTTCTTAGGTAAGTCCCTTTAACATTTCATATAATAAGGGCTTGGTGATGATGAACTCCTTGAATTAGATCTTATCTGAGAAGCACTTTATCTGTCCTTCCATTCTAAATGAAAGCTTTGCTGGATAGAGCAATCTTGGATGTAGGTCTTTGGATTTCATGACTTAGAATACTTCTTTCCAGTCCCTTCTTGCCTATACGGTCTATTTTGAGAAATCCACTGACAGTCTGATGGGAACTCCTTTGTAGGTGACTGTCCCCTTAGCTCTTGCTGCTTCTAGGATTCTTTCCTTCATTTTAATCTTGGCTAATGTAATGATGATGTGCCTTGGTGTGTTCCTTCTTGGGTCCAACTTCTTTGGGACTCTCTGAGCTTCCTGGATTTCCTGGAAGTCTATTTCCTTTGCCAGATTGGGGAAGTTCTCCTTAATTATTTGTTCAAATAAATTTTCCACTCGTGGTTGTTCCTCTTCCCCTTCTGGTACCCCTATAATTCAGATGTTGGAGCGTTTAAAGATGTTCTGGAGGTTCCTAAGCCTCTCCTCATTTTTTTGAATTGTTGTTTCTTCATTCTTTTCTGTTTGGTCATTTTTTCCTTCCTTCTAGTCCACTCCCTTGATTTGAGTCCCAGTTTTCTTTCCATTACTATTGGTTTCCTGTGTATTTCCCTTCATTTCCATTAGTTTAGCCTTCATATGTTCCTCTAATTTGTGACTAAAATCAACCAGTTCTGTGAGCATCCTGATCACCAGTGTTTTGAACTGTGCATCTGAGAGTTTGGCTATTTCTTCATCACTAGTTTTATTGGCTCTGGGGCTTTGAGCTGTTTTTCTTGAGCCATAATGTTTTGCTCTGTTTGCACCTGTTAGGTATGAGGAGCGGAGCCTTAGGTGTTCACCAGGCGGGGCCACGCAGGTCTCTGGTTTGTGATGCTGTATGCGGGGGCAGGGTCAGAGGGGGACAATGGCAGTCCCCTCTCCACTGGGTCCTGTGCGGTCTGTCTCAGTCTCACTGTACGCTCCTTCTCCAGTTATTTGCGTGCGAATGTGTGACCGCGGTCCGCCCTCAGTGGGTCCGCCCGCTGCTACTCCACACCTGGGATCCACCCACTGCCTGCCTGCCCACCTGGGTCACGCTCCAGTTGGTCCGGTGGATCTTTCCAGCCCGACCCCACTCTGCTGCTGGCTCTGCCCCTCTTACTGGTTTGGCTGAAGGGTTCGTTGTTGTCAGACTTCCATGTAGTTCAATTTTCTGTGGTTTGGCTGCATTTTTGTTGCTAAAACTTTGTTGTTTTTAAACTTGGTTGTGAGAGAAGGCAGAGTGTTTCCACCTATGCCTCCATCTTTGCGGAAGTCCAAGAGCTCATTATTGATGGACTGAATGCTTGCCTGTCTGCCTTTCCCTCAGGACACTAAGCACCACAAAAACAGGTCCTTGTCTGTTCTCGGCCAACAAAGTCTCCAGAGAGTGGAACACTGACTGCCGGGACATAGCAGATACTCAATCCATTTGTAGATGAGAGAATGAATGAAGTAAACGTACAATTAAAGGTGTAATGACAACTTGTGACAAAAACTTTGAAAGGTGAGAGTAGACATTTTTGAGAGAGAATGAGAAGAACCTCGTTTTAGAGCCTGAAGGAAGAGAAGGGCATCGAAGTGGAGGGGACCAAAGGTATTCTAGTAGCTAGGACAGCTCTGGACCAGTTTGGAGGTGGGAAAGAGTAAACCAGGGCACAGAGCAAAGGCCAGTGTGTCTGCCCAGGGTGAACAAGGGGGAGTGAAGTGAGATGAGGATGGCACAGATCACGCAGAGCCTAGATGACCATGGGGAGGACTTGGGATTTCATCCAAAGTGGAAGGAAATGCCTTGAGAGGACTTAGGGCAGCAGAATGGAATGCCATGTTACAGATATGGACATTGAGACCCAGAGCAGCAAGATGAATTCCCTGGGGCAAAGCATGCCCAGGGGAGCTCAGGCCTTTCCAGCCAATAGCAGGCCTTGGAACCTTTCTTTGGTTTCACGGGGGTCTTCAGGCAACCCTGGTGGGGGTAGGGTGGATTGACCTCTGCCAATGGCTCAGCCTTATTCCCTGACAAGGCCAGCCTGCCCCAGCCCTCAGCTTCCAGAGCATCTCTCCTCTCCAAGCCACAGCCAGGGTGGCCCTTTCTCCCTCAACCCTCTTCCTGGGGCCAAACTGGCTCTTTCAATCACACAGTTTAAGGTGTAGATTTTTGTGGATTAACAGGGATCAATGATTTTAATGGGGAGGATTATGTTTTCAAAATACCATTTCAGAAGCTTTCCAGGGGGTGGAGAACAATTTGGGGACAATCTGAAATCAGAGCCCTTGGTGGACATTTATTCCTCTTTCCCCTCCCAACCAGAGGCAAAAAGGTAAATATAACTGATGTTGGTGATTGAGAGTGTGGCATAACAGTGAAGGGGTATTTCTTCAAGAAGATATAGCAATCCTAAATATGCAGTCCCAAACGACAGAGCTTCAAAAAGTGAGAAGGAAAATTCTGGTAGAGCTGAAGAATGAAATAAGCAAATTCACAATTATAGTTGGAGATGTCAACACTCCTGTCTTAGACATAATGGAGACAACAAAGAGACACAGAGTCAGCACAGATATTATTATTATTAAGAGCTTAGTATAAGCCAGGCTATATGCTAAACACTTGTATTTTATCACTTGGTTAGCTCAGCAGCCTATGAGTAGGTAGTACTGTTAACTTCAGTTTACAGAGGAAAAAACAGGTTCAGAGAGGTTATTACAAGGTTATAAGTTAGTAACAGAGCTGATATTTGAACTGAGGTATGTCTGACTACAGAGCCTAAACGTGTTTTCACCACACTGTGTCACCTCCCAGGTAGAGGAATAGGGCTGAATTTAGGGTCCTTGACACACCTGAGAGCCCAGCTCTGCTGAGATGGGCGGGACTTACCTGTCCAGCAAGCTCAATGAGATGCTAGCTGGGTCGCTGATGCATTGTGACACGGCCACTTTGGATTTTCCATCCTGGGTTTCAATGCTGACACCGTTCAGGAGGTCCACGGAGAGCTTCAGGTCAGCTGTATTTCCAATGACAGGCCTGCAGGAAATAAGATTCACTGTGAAGAGAGGTCTAGAAGACCTTCCACACTGCCTGTGTGGCCATCATCCAAGATATATATGGATAATGTCAACCTTGTTAATATGTTTTATGAGATCAACATATTTATATTAGGTGCTTCTTCTTGGCCACGTAGGTTTGGTTCATATGAAATTTTTCTATAGAATCACACTAATAACTAAAATAATAAGTTAACATTTATTGAGCAGAAATTATGTTAGGCACTTACAAAAGGTGTTTTGCCTGGATCAAACCATCTAATTATTGCAGCAAGACCACGAGGGAAAAGCACCATTATTATCTGTATTTCAAAATGAGGAAGCATTGATATAGAGATGTTAAGTAACTAATCCAAGTTCTCACAGCTAAAGTATGATGAAATGATACTGTACTTAATTTACAAAGGTCTTTCCACAGGTGCTCATTCTCTTAACTCTCTATTTTTAAGTAATTAATATACTTTAAGATGATAGTTTTTAACCATATGATTTCACTTATATGTGGAATCTAATGAACAAAATAAACAAACAAAATAGAAACAGACTCACGGATAGAGAGAATTGAGTGACAGCTGTCAGAAAGAATGGAGGCTGGGGAGATGAGTGAAATAGGTAAAGGAATTAAGCAACAAACAAACAAACAAACAAAAACCCCCAAAACTCATCGACACAGACCACAGTTTGGTGATTACCAAAGAGGAGGGCGGTTGCAGGGAGATAAAGGGTGATGGAAGGCAACTAGACTTTGGATGGTGGACACACAATGCAGTGGTGCAGGCAATGCATTTTAGAATTGTTCTCTTAAAACATAATTTTATTGACCAATGTAACCACAATAAATTCAATCAAAATAAATTAAAGTACAAAACTATATTTTTCACACATGCCCTTTATTATACTATACACCACTATATGCATTTATCTGTAATGGTTACTGTTATTTAAAGAAAATCTTGAGAGACAAAATACTGCTAGAGAAAATTTTGCCAAAGAGTTATAAATGTCCTCTCCATTTTTGCAAATTTCACTATTAATTAAATGTTATGATTCCAGAAATACATTTAATGGAGGATTCTTTTTAAAAAGACTTAGTTGTGGCCAAAGTTTATTAGAACTTTTTAGAAATCAGGATTTTAGAGCTTAGAAACAGCCCTTATTTATAGATTGGGCCACAGTGCAGCACAGCAAAGTGTGTGCTTCGAGTGTGGAGACCCATTGGCTACCCTGCACTGCCCGCCCCAGTCTCAGATTCGAACGCATACTCACAGGGCCAGTTCGACGTCAGCGCTGATGGGGATGCTCACGTTAAGTCCATGGCCATCAGAAGTCAGTTTCGGTTTGACATCCAGGAGCTGGACGTTACTGACTTTCAATCTGTGCAAAAAACAGAATTCACTCTCGTCATTCCTCATTGAAAGCCATTAGTCAAGCATGTCTCTATACCGGGAGCATGCCAGGCAGTTGGGCCTCATCAGCTTTGCTTACTTTGGTCTTTACCATAGCCCCTTCAGAGGTTTGATTGTCTCCATTTCATAGCATGGCATACGGAGGATCAGACAGTTGTGATTTCTCCCAAGATTCCAAGGAAGAATAACTGCCAGGTCCAGGGTTTGAACCCACAACTGTTTACTCCAAAACTCTTATGTGTGAAACCAGTGGGTGTGAAGACTTTAATTATATTTCTTCTGAGGGGATTCAGAATTTTATTCTCAGCAATATGTGGAAAAGAAAGTCTTAGTCCCTGGAAAAGGGAATCCAGGCATCAGCAAACATGTGGAGGTGTGAGTGAAGAGAACCTTCATCATGACCCTGAAGTCACAGAATGTGGAAGCTGAAACACACGGAATGCCAAGAATGGCTCTGTGGCCCTGCCTGTAATTTACTCAAGTTCTGGTGGACCTGGCCTCAGACCACCTTGGTTCTGTGGGAGGACAAGTTTTGTTGTTATCTTTCTGTCTCTAATCTTAAACTTATCCCCTGCCCCAAAGATATGGAGAGCAAAGATCTCCACCATGAAGCACCTACTTACCCCAAAATGTCCTTCTTAACTGACAAGACTTTGGAAACAGCACCAGCCAACAGATCCTCAGCTTTCTGTAACACCTGCTCAGTCAGTTGCCCAAGCTTGGAGTTCTGAAGGCTGTCAAGGTCATGCTTTAGGTTTCCAGCCACAGCTGACAGAAACAATCACTATTTAGTGTTATGTACCACTTATGAAGTACCTACCATGCACCAGGTACTAGATTAGACTGTTTGCTGATGTTATTCCCTTTAATCTTCCTAACAACTCAGTGAGGTAGATCTTGATATTGTCTGCATTTTGCAGATGAGGAAATGAAGGGTGAAAAGTTTAAGAAACGTGCCTAAAGACACACAGCTGCAGAGCCCCTCTTCCTCCCATGCTGTCTTCATGCTAATATACACCCATGATTCATCAACAGAGAAATCAATCAATTAGCCAGGCAATCGATAGTGATCGTTCAAGCAACTTCTAGCGGTGACTTGGAGGGTCTCTTGCTCTAAATGAGATGTCCACACGAGTTTCAAAAACTAGGTCAAAGTGAGAGAGTAAACTATAATACGGAAAATCTAGAATCAAGAAAAAATATGACTCAAACCCATAAAAGTGACGAACTGCAGTCCGAGGAAGAGAACCCTGCACCAGGCCCAGAAAGCAAGAATTCACATGGGAGCAGGAGATCAGTATCTGGTGGGGGAGTCTCCAGTGAAAAGAGGGATTCGATAGAATAAATGATATGATAGGTATGGAATGGTGCACGTGAAAAGAGTTAAGGATATGTGAGTAAAATAACTTCAGTGAGAAACAGCAAGGCAATTACTAATTCAAGGAAAAACAAAAGACTGCACGGGAGAAGATATGTAATTGTAGCACTACAACTCAGCTGTGCAATGAACAGTATCTACCCAGTTGTAATGATGCAAACTGAAGATGCCAATTTAAATAGAACTGTGTCTGGTCTTATAACTCACTGGGTGACCTTAACCCAGACACTTCTGTTTCTGAGCTTAGTTTTCTCAGAAGTGAAGTTGAAGATTGAATCTCTTCTGTATCTTTGAAGGTTGCCTGATAATATTGGAAAGGTGGCCATTTCCAGGAGTTACTAAACTCCTATAAAGATGTTTATCAGCCCTGGCTGGTGTAGCTCAGTGGATTGAGCACGGGGCTGCGAACCAGACAATTGCAGTTCAATTCCTGGTCAGGGCACATTCCTGAGTTGCAGGCCAGTTCCCTGCAGGCCAATTCCCAGCAGGGGACGCACGAAAGGCAACCATACATCGATGTTTCTCTCCCTCTCTCCTTCCCTTTCCCTCTAAAGATAAAAAATAAAATCTTAAAAAAAAGATTTTTATCAATGTGCTGTTAATTTTTTTAGAAAAGGAAGAGAAAGCCAAGTTCTTTTTAAGAAATCAGAATAAAAAAAGAGATCAATTAACTCTAAAAGCTGGGATATAACTACCTAGGCTAGGTGGAGTTAACTTCTAATGAATTAATACAAATCAGTAAGAAAAGTAAACAACCCAACAGAAATAATATGCTAAGAATATGAACAAAACATTTACATTTAAAATATGTAAAAAACTACAAATATGAAAATGTGAGTGGATTTTCTTATAATTAGAGAAATGTAAAGTGAAATGAATTACAATCTTTCACCTATGACATTGGCAAACATTTAAATTGTCTGTACCAGTGCTGTTGAGGGAGCACAGAGAAAGGTACTCCCACCAACTGTTGGAGAAAATGTTAACATAGGGGATTATTTGTCAACATCTACTAGAATTTAAAATGTGCATATTTTTGAACTTTTGAAACCTCACTTTTAGGAACTTATCCTATTCATCTGCTGGAAAAAGTTTGCCATGACATAATATGTAAAGGAATATTCATTTAAGCATTGCTTATTTGTAGAAAAATAGAGTTTGTAGGAAAAAAAAAACCATCATCAAGGGAACCACCCAGGAAACCACCCAGAAAGGGCGGTCCCTGGTGGCAGCCCCTGGTTAATGAAGCCTAGTGTTTAGGAAACAGGTGCCACCCATCATCAATCTTACTGACTCACTTTGAACTGTATCCTCAACGATCTCATGTCCTTTATTGATAACATTTTTTAGGTCATTGCCAAGGTTCCCAAGAAGTGATGCTGAGGTCCCAGTGAGCAGGGCACACAAGAGAACAACTTTCCAAAGCTGAAACATCTTGTCTTGATGCCTGGGCATTCATAGGAGAAACAGGAGTAAGAATTAGCCAGTAGGAAAAGGAATTTTTAGTGAACACTGCCATTTACAAAAAGGTTTTTTCCACATGCTGGCTTCTTTGCTTGGAAAATTTGTCCTCCTCTTTGCATTTTTCACCCAAGTCACATCCTGTAGACTCTCTGGCTTCAGTAAGACAACATGTCCTCTGTGAAGCCTACTCTATGCCCCTCTCTAGAGTCTGGGTTCGGGGGTTTCACCCCAGCATTTTTCTGCCTTCGTTTTCTGCTGAGTGTCCTGAGTACCAATGACATGATGAGCTGTCCTTCTCTGTCACCAGGCTGTGAACTCTTTAGAGGAGGAATTGTGACATTTCACTGTTGAATCCTCAGCCCCCAGTAAAAAAAAAAACAAAAAAACAAAAAAAACAAAAAAAACCTGCACCCAGTGCAGCTTCAATGAATAACTATTTGCTGAATAAAAGTATGAACAAATACATGGCCACCATGTCGTGACCCTGCATTGCTCATCAGTTTGACACTTCCCTGAATATAATCTCTATCTACCTCTTAATTTGCTATGTTCAAAATATTAGCTAACCCGGGCAGCCCCAGGCCTCTGACTCTTGCTCCCAAAGTCTACGGGAGACCACCACCCTGTGGGGTGACCTCGGGGGGAAGCCTGCCACTCACAGGTTCGGAGGAGGATGCTCACGAATCCTTCTTTCCCTGCACGGTCTCCTAGGATTCTTCTGGGTGGTGCTGGCCCTTTTATTGGTGGCCACAGGATGGGAGGCTGCCCATGGAAGCCATCCTTGGTTCCGCGGTCATCCAAGGAGACTCCAAAGAAAATAACCCCTGTCCGGAATGAGCAGAGAGGCTCCAACCCAAAGGTCACCTGCATGTTTGAGTTGGAATGGATGGACATGGGACGGACTTCCTGCCAAAACTAAGACCAGGTTCTCGTGGTGCCTCCAGCTGCCAAGACGGTGGTGGCCATTGTGAGTGGGGTTTGGGGTGAAGACTCAGAATGGACAAATTAGAGAACGTGCTGGTGGGAGAACCTATAATGATCATCCAGCCTATTTCTTTCATCATTTGGAAACCGACCCTCAGAGAGGGGAAATAACCAGCCTCTCTGGTTATTTGCTGAAACCGTCCAGCAAGACAGGGACAGAGATGGGACCAGAACTGCGGTCTACAGAAGGTCAGGGTCAGCGACCACAAAAGTCCTCCCACCCAATCCTCTGGCTCCAAGCACTGTCTACAATATAGTTCACAATGGAGCCAGCCTCTGTGCGAATGTTTGCAGTCATGGGGAGTTCATTACCTCTTAAGGCTGCCTCTTCTATCAAGTTAGACTTTCTCCTGAGAGTGAATGGAATCCGCCTCATGTTACCCCCGTGGGTGGACAACAGTGAAGCCCAGAAAGGTTAAGCGCCTGGCCTGAGGTTGCATGGCCAGTGTCAGGGGGCAAACCCCACAGTCTGTCATCCCTGGCACACCTGCCCCATTCATTCTGCTGTCAGCACAGCAGCCAGAGAAGCAACAGTCAGCTTAAACCCAAATTCTTACCGCGCCCTATAGGGGCCTGTGCCGCCGTACCACTGTCTCTCCACACCCCTCTCTCACCTCTCCCTCCGGGTCCCTACCCTGCCTTCCTTCTATTCCAGAAAATTCTGACCTCTTTCCTGCTTTGGGCCTTTGCACATGCTGCTCTCTCTGTCTAGGAGTCTCCTCTGCAATGGTCCCCAACTCTTGATGTAACCCCTTCAGAAGCTCCCTGACTGCCCACCTGAGGTGTCCCCTGTCTCCCTTGACCTCGGGAGGACCCTGACCTCGGCTCCTCGATGGCTTCTTTCATAGCAAATCGCCACAATTTGATTTTTTTAACTCATTCTCTACCCTCGGCAAATTGTTGACACCCTGTGCCGAGATTTTCGTCGTGTGTGGCATTCAAAGACTCTGGCCTGTCTCTAGAATGCTCCAAACCTCTCTCCAGGGCAGCCACTGCCTGGGAAGGTGAATGTCCCCACCGCCAGGATGCTCCGAAACTGGACGAGGTGACAACTGAGCTCCTGGGGGACTTGTCCTGACTGTGAGCCTGGATTCTGTTTCCTTGGTCTATTGTTGAAAGACCGTTGTTGCCCGTTGTGATGTTTCTTCCGCTCAGGTTTTCTCCCTGCCCCAGTCTAGCTCTCCTGCGTGGGTGTCCTTCCCTCAGGCTCCCCGTCTCCTTCCCTTTCTCACCCTCCCCACCTCCCAAGACCCCAACTCCACCCAGCCGAGGGCTTCTGGAGCCCTGGCGGCTCCGGTTCGGGTGCCGCCTCTCAGCAGGAATCACACGAGGGACAGAGCCAGGCCCCTGCTGGCATTGGCGCCTCGCAAAGTCAAGCTCTAAGGTGTCACAGACTGGTCTCCTGAGTGTGGGCCTAGGGAGGTGCCACGAAGGCAAGACACTGTCCTCTCAGATGCAGCTCCGATGTCCTAAGGAGCCGTATTCTCAGGGTCACCCACACTTTGGCAGTGTCCCTGGCCCCAGCTCACATGAGGACAGGACTTCAAGGGCCCTGTCCGCTAAAGCACTGGGGGGATCCCCCATGTCTGATCCACACCAGGCTAAGCCTCCCAAAGTGGGGAGAAACCATGCCCCCTTCATCCTGAGGCCCTCCACGTTCTCCTCCCATGGCCTGTGCACAACTTGTGAACAAGCATACACACTTCTGTGCATGTAGTTTGTGCGCATGTCTGCACACACACATGTGCTTCTGTGCACATGTACAAGACAGCACAAGACAGACTCGTCTGAAGAAGCATCTCACCGCCTAAGTGAGGAGAACTTTTTGCAGAACCATAGAGGCTATGTTGCCACTGTTTTGAATGAAAGGGTTCACTCCCCGCAAAGGTGGATGTGAGACTCCCCAGGCTGTCTGGGCCCGCTATTTTTTTCCTTAAAGATTTTAGATACAACTATCTGGCAAAGCCCATGAGAGAATGAAGCCCATACTAAGGAAATGAGAAAATATATATCAGGTGGGTGCCTGGATCTAATTGTGCCTGAAGTCACGTATACCCCTGGAGTTTTCAGTTTAAATACATATCTCCCCACTTTTTCCTTAAGCCCTTATGCCTTGAATTCCTGCCACAGAAACGCACAGCAGTCCTGCCTCACACATTTGAACACTCACACTGGCCTCCTCCTTCTGACTGATGCTCGAAGTCACACGCTGCACTTGAACGACGACAGACACCAAAGTCAGGGAAGCACTTAGAGGTCATCATTTAACCTCCTTGCTCGGAAGTCTGGGGAGCCTGTGGCCCAAAAAAGGAGAAGGAATCATCCAAGGCCACACAGTGACCTTGAACACCACTGATGTTCCACTTGTATTGCATATCTTATAGTTTTGTTGGAATTTTCTACTGTGGGGCAATAGCCTTAAGGAAAAAAAGATTACACGGAGTTGCCTAGGAAACTTGTTTAAAATGCAAGTGCTTGAGCCCCATCTCTGATAATTTGGGTCAAGGGCTCTGGGAGCCCAAGAGTGGCCTGCGTCCAGCTGTTCCGTCCCGTTTGTCGGCCAGAAACAGGAATGACTAGACTCAATGACTCAGGTGCTTTCCACCCTGATTTCTATGAGCTGTGAACCCCCCACCCCAGCCTCTGGAGCCTCTTGGCTCAGCCCAGGCATGACACACATAACCCTGCAGCTCGCTGGGACCCTGGCACCAGGTTTGCTGCTCTAGGCACACTTTCCCCATCAGTCCTCATGACACCCCCATGAGGAGGGTTTGAGCCCTATTTTCCAGCCGAGGAAGCTGAGATTCAGACCAGGTATGTGAGGCCAGGGCCTCACAAAGACAGGAACCAAGCATTTGGGTCCCCAGAGAAAGTCTTCTGGCCAAGGTCACATTGAAGCCATCTGTTGGGGCGGAATAGCCCTTGGGCTTGAATATCCTGTTTATCCTTCAGCCTCTGCTGTTTGAGTTGGTTGTAACGCCTGGTGCATTGGCCTGTCAACCTGGCACCGGCACAGGAAACTCAGGTGGATGCCCACGTGACAACAGATGCACTGGCAGAGAGCTCAGGGGCACCTGCGTCTGTCTCCTCTGCTCCCCCACCGGAAACTCAGCAAGCACCAGGCAGGCCTGCTGTTCACAGGAACATGGCCCGGGGGGAGGGCTCAATGAGCTGGGGTGCTCGCCTCCCTTGCACTGGCCCTGGTTCTGCCACGGGAGCACAGAGCGGCGAGAGGGCAGCAGCCTAGGTTCTCAGGCCTGGACTGAGACTCGGAGAACCCAGGCAAGTAGAGTCATGCTGGGTGACCTTGGACCAGTCATCATTCCCCCTTTCCTGGCTGCCTGGCACTCAGTTCTGCAAACATATGAGGCCCTTCCTCATCAAGATGTGAGAACAGAGCTGAGGGCTGTGCTGAAATCTTGTGGAGAGAGTTTTTCCCACCCCAGGAACACAGCCCAGGGAGTGGAGTGTGATGTGGTGACCTTAGACCTTGTATGAGTCCCAGGCCTCAGTTGCTCCATCTGTAAAATGGGACAAACGCCTCTGTGCCTGGATCCCAGCACCCAAATGGAAATCAAAGGGTGCCCAGGGGGCTCTGAGGGTGTTGGTCAGTGCCTGGCTCTGGGGTTGGGTTTGTGTCCAGTCTCTCTGCCCGATGTTGGCTGCATAAACTGTATCAGGTGGTATCTCGCTGACCCTCAGGCTCCTTATCTGTGAAATGGGATGAGCTACAGGATGTGTTGAGGAAAGGGTGGGATAATGCATGTGAAAGGGTTAGAACGTGGTTGGCCCTGAGTACGTGGTAACAGCAATGAGGATGATTATAATTATTGTTGGTTTCTGGTCACTTCACTTCTCTCCACCTGTGTTCCCATCGATATGTGAAGATAAATGAGATAATGCATCCAATATGCTTAATGCTCAATTACCCTCAACTATGCTTTTTTTTTTTTGCGTGCAGTGAGGAGCTGATGTGCCGAAAGGGG